CAATGTCAGTACAGAAGGGGGAAATCCGTAGCCTCGTCTTGATGGAATCCGACGGAGTTTCAAATCTGTAACAAGCATTGGGAGAACAACTGTGATTGATCCAGCAGAAGGTTGGATGGTACACAGCAATCCCAATGGTTTGGCCAACCGAATCCTGAACCTCGACGGCGTTGGTCAATACGAGGCACATGATGGCCTCTTCCAAGGCGTTGTCATAGCGAATATCGGCGGAGTTCGTCCGTCTGGAGGTGGCAATGGCGTCGGCACCTTTCCGAATCTTGGCGAAAACCTCGGAATCGTCATCAGCAAGCATCAATTTCTCCCGATTGGTGAGAAGGCCAAAGATACGCTCGGGAGGAGTAGAGCGCCAAGCGGAGGTATCGGAGAGGAGGAGGTGGAGGAGGCGGAGGGAGGCGCGGAGGTCGGAGGTGTCGGAGAAGAGAAAATGATCGGTGGAGAAGACGGCGGCGGTGAGGGAATCGGAATAGGAGCATATAGGGGAGCAGTAGCGGAGGAGATTAGAGTGGGAAATTGGGGAATTTGGAAGAGGGGAGAAACAGGAGGAGCAGTGAGTGAGGAGGAAGGAATCGTGGAGAGCGGCGGTGAGAGGAGGCAACGGCGGAGTAATGTCTTCCGCCATTTCTATGTCTTCCATTGCTCTCAATTCCATCTCCATTTCTCTCTCCTTACTGAAAATGAATGAGACTATGAATATTATTATTTGATTTTAAAAATATATATGTATTGAGTGTAATTTTGAACGGATTTTATACACTGTTGATACCATCCACTTTATAATTGTTACAAATAATTTGATTCAAATCGTTAATGTATAGATATGTGAGTAGGGATATTTTATACAATAAATTTGTATAATACTGACCTATGAATTATTTTATTTGTTTTTATAATTCGTTAATTGAGAAAATTAATATGATTATTATGACTGATAAAAATTGAAATTAAATATTTAATATTAGTAAATTAGAAAAATAACCCAAAAAAGGAATTTGTGGAAAAATAACCCTAAAAGAGTTAATTGGGAATTTAAACATGAAATTCAATTTGCAAAAGGTATCTCGTAATAAATTAAATTTACAAAGATAATCCTAAAAAGTGGTAAATTGTAAAAATGACCTAAAGGTGGTAAATTCGATCCATTTAGTAAGGGCATTTTTTTATTGAGGAAGAATTAGCATGTTTATCGGTCTCAAAAGTTTACCGGACACAAATAGGAAGTTTTTCATAAATAGCTCGAAGAAAAATAGTAAAGGGGCTCTCAATTTCTTTAGGTAAGTTTCGATTTGAGTTTTCGAAAATTGAGAAATTTCTCCTCCACCGTGAATCTCATTCCTTAAAGCTTATTTGTAAAGTTTCATGGCACGGAGAGGAGCAACTTTGGTGAAGAAACCAAAGGCTAGAAGTAGCTAGAACCCAAGAACCAAAAAAGTTGATATGGGTCAAGTTCGATATGGGTCTTATACCATTAACTTTAGGTTAAATCAAGGAACAAGGTTGTTGAAGAAGTCGAGAGGAGATAAACTCTCAATTACCCAAATCGAGAGCAACTTGGAGTTGACTTTTTGGGTAAGTCAATATCGAACAACCTATTTTGACTCAACATATCTTGGTCATTTGTTAACCAAACAAGTTCGAAACCTATCTCAAATGATCCATGGTGTGTAAGACTACAATATTTATAAATAAAATTTTAGTTTTGGAAAGGTTTGTGAATGGTGATCCCGAACACACCAGTTCTCGAGGAGAGATGTAGTTATACTTGCAGAAATAAATAGAATCGAAAAAGAAAGTGGAAGATTTTACCTTGTTACAATTATTTAGATTTTTGTTATCATTTTATCTATTATAGAAAATATGTAGAGATTAATAGTTTTTTTTTAAAAAAATAAAGTAAGAATAGATAATTGGTTATGGAATTATGTCGAACAAGTTAAGTTAGGTTCATTGATACAATCATTTTAACCTAAGTTATTCAGAATTACAGCTGGGTTAAAAGACCGTTTATGATCGTATCACTAAGACCCTTTCGGGCCAATGAGAGGGTGAGACCCATTGTTCAAGTCTCAAGATCAGTATTTGAGAGAACAACTTATCTACTTTTCTTATAGAGAGAGGAGTGAGTTTATGATACTATGTTTCAAACCCTTATTTGGTAAGTTCTTAAAATGGATACAAGAGTCATTCTCACCCAAAATTAAAGGACAAGTCCTATCAAACATGAGTTTATAACTCACTCGGGATTAAGATCGAGTCGAATATGATCGTCATGTGAAATATTAATCTTCACAATTAACAAATTTATAAAGAGGGATTAGATATTTCTTGGTCGAGTCTTATACAAACTCATTGTATAGGAATACCCTACTCACATGTAACGACCCTAAATTTCTACATACTCAGAGTCGCTACTAACGTCTCATGCTCATCTCTTAAATGCTCATCATAAATAACGTAAAATTTTAAAACATTCAGAACACTTCAAAGTGCTAGAAAACATTATCGGTCTTACGTGTTTCAAAACATAACGCTGGAATTTAAAATTTAAAATAAAAACCATTAAATTGAAATAAGTTAAATAATGAAATGCAAACGTCCTATTCTAATCTAAGCCTAGAAATTCAAATATGCAACTACCCTATGCATGCACCACAGTCTCTGATTACAATGTCGCCGCCAATCATATATGGGCAACTTTGCCTTTACCTAAAAAATGATATGACACACAACCTGAGTATTTCCAAGAACACTCAGTATGTGACCCCACTATAGGGGTCATGCTAATACAATCACATGCAATCATGTTCTAGGGACTTATCTCTAACTCATCTAGGGGTGCCTCCAGTCTCGAACTATGTGTAATACTTCCTTACACACAACTCACACATGCGAGTGTGAATCCCCAGGTAGGTCGTACACCCCTGGACCCTTTCTGGTCACTAATCTGTAGCGACGCCCGGAGGTCAGCGGAACCCTTAGTGTCATGCGTCTCATGAACACCTTTATCAACATACTATGTGCGTCAGCACTCATCATCTTTAGGGAAGTAGCCCTATGCTTATGAAATACAACATGCATGAGGTCTCTCTAAATCCCATCATAATGTCTCTTCTAACACAACCCTCAAACCTCATATCTTTGTTACAATAAGTAACACATGCTCGTGGATACTTATATTAATATCATTTTCATGCTCTTAGGGTTGTGTCCTAGGTCGATCTAACTACATGATGCAATATGACATTCATATCATATATCATGCTCAATATGGAAAATATCATTATATTAAGTAAAACGTCATACAAACATCATACTCATCATAAAGCCATCAAGTGCATCAAACATATCATGTATGTCATGCATCGAAACATAAATTACATACATTATCATGAATCACATCTCAAACATCATACTCATAAATCATCATAGCTCATACATCATCATGCTCGTAAATAATAACTGTAAGGCCACATACTTGGTTGGCCTTGGCCGAATTACTCCCTAATTAGCTAAACGTAAGCTCTCATTCCTCAAGAGCTACTCCAAAGATCATCGGGGTTTGTTTCCTATCACACTGTTCGTCACCCTTCATTAGTATTTCACAATTAAATTAATAATTAATTAATAAACATATAATACGGCTCTGAAACGGCCTCAATTACCTTAATTGAGGTCGAAAATAGGTCAAAGAGGGTCAAAACGATGAAAATTGGGTAAAAAGTGAGAAGTCGAGCTGAACAGCCGGTAGGAGCTACCGGGAAGCCACTGAAGAGTCGTCGGAGCATCATAGGAGGGAGGCCGTGAGCCATCTAAGCTGAGTTGAGCCGAGGGATTGCTTGCGCCACAGTGCCACGTGGCAGAAGCAGAGCGCGCCATAGAGTGCCACGTGGCAATATCAGAGCACGCCTTGTCGTGCAGGTGGCGTCAAGTCGAGGCGTAGGTTGAAGGTCATCGGCTGCAGGTGGGCTGCTGGGCTTTGATTCACGGGCTGAGCCGTAGGCAAGTTTGGGCCTCAGGCTACTGGGCTGGATTGAGTTTTGGGTTGAAATAACTCGGGCCTCTGATTCTCGGTTCGTGGGCTCTCGGGTTGTAGGTGACGCGGGTCGCAAATCAGGTTGCAGAACGAGCTAGACCGAGGGTTGGTTTGGGCCTCGGGTGTGGGCCATTGCAGTTTGGGCTAAGCCGACGAAGACTTAGGCTAGACCGTTATGTATTTCCTATGAATGGTTTAGAACGCCCCTACTCACATGTCCAATCTTATAACATGGATAGGGTCAGTCTTCACAAACTCATTGTATAGGATACTCTCACTTACATATAATTACAAATTGAGTTTGTATCAATACTGGTTACCAAACACTCAACCTTATCTATATAATATAGACCTTCTAAGTTATTATTTGAACACGATCCTCTTTTAATGCCAACTACATATTGTTTAAGATTACATTAAAACTTTGAATTTTCCTGCCATGAATAATATTAAATTGTAAATAAAATAATAAAAAAATTACCATTAAAAATTAAATAATTAATTACAGGGCTCAAGGGTAGCTCATAAATCCCTGATGTTTGAATCTTTCACATGTCCAATGAACTAGGTCAATTTCATTCTTATCCTTGTGACATCGTTCATCTTCATGAATTTTTCGATAGTCGACTTATTGTATCTATCTAGGTTGATAACTCTTATTTGTACCGACTAAAAACAACCATTGATATACTTTTATACCAATTTTCATCAACTTCTTAAAATAATATCTAAAAATAATGAAAAATATATTAGGATAGATTTTATTTATTTTCAAAATTTGTAACTGCTCCCGTATATCTAGGAGAAATCGAATATTTTGAAATATATATATATATATATTGAACAGATAAATAATTTTAATCGTTTTACCAAACCCTTAGCCTCTAACGCTTTCCCTCTTCTCCAAAACCTCTCTCTATCTCTCTCACTCCACTGCCTGCAACACCATATGGCTTCCTTCATCGGCTCTAACTCTCCACAAATTTCATCTCCCTCCTCGGCAGAGATCAAATTCGTCGGAATCTGCGGAAAATATCAGATTGATCGATCGATTTCGGTTGAGAAGAATCGCGACAGAAATGCGAATGCGAATGCGGTGTCGTCGAATAAGAGGAAATGGTGCATGTGTTCTCCGTCTACTCATCCAGGCTGTTTCAGGTGTTCGCTCCACAAGAAGAAGTCGAGGCACTCTGTTAATGCTGTGAATCGCAGCGAGTTCCCGAACGGATCGTTGGATTTTCGTAGATCGGCAATGACGAATTCGATTGTTAGAATCGGAGGCGTGGAAGGTGCTGATCTCGTGAACAGAGCTTTATCGGCTTTGATTAGGCCTTCTTCGCATCAGCTGCGGCCGCGATCAGCGTTTCAACCTAGGCCTAGTCGTCTGTCAGTCATGTCAAAATCAGAGGAGTAGCGACACATTTTCCAGCCCTAATCATTTTTTTCTTCTTCTTTGGTTTATTCCTACCCTAGGCTCACCAAATCATTATATATATTTCATCATTTTAGTAAATGATTATGAATTTATAATCAAAGAATACTATTTTCGTTGGTTGGTGCATCCAACAAGGTTTTACTACCAAGTGTTGGCCTAACTTTGGCTTAGACCAAATCTACGTTAAAAGATCTATAAACTAATCTAAAATGCATATGATATGAGAATTCTAAAATTTCTCTCCTAGAGACTAAACGATTCTTATTCCAACTTCTTGGAACTTCTTACTGGTGTCTTGGTTACGATGAACTTCTTACTGGTTTCTTGGTTACGATATCAAAATTTAGGGTTAAATATTACTGGGGCTGGTTTCTTGGTTACGATATCAGGGTTAAATATTAGTGGTGGAAAAGACATTTGTTTCATTTTGACATGAAAAATATGAGTGGTCTTCAAAAGAAGACGTGGGTTCAAATCCCACTTCCGACCATCTTTTTATAGATCTAATGATTTTATAGAAAAGAAATATGTTATCAATCTAATTTTAATTATGATTTTATAGAAAAGAACTATGTTATCTCTGTCCTTCAAAGATTCTGTGATTGGAGAAGTTATTTTAAATGAAGATTATATATGAAAGACTATATCATAACACAAACTATTATATAAGGGGTACTTTTATAATTTTATACCGGGCTTAAAGCTTTCTTTGAGCCTTTGTCTGTATGCTATGTATAGCTTTTCTGGCAAGACCCAAGACCCAAGACCCCGAACTCACACTTAGAACGACCAAACCCGACGTTGAAACACTTGGTTCACGGTATGAAGTGGACCGCTGATGATCCCACATACACGAGAGGTAAGCTCTATACGCTTGAATAACGTCGTGTGTCGTTGGGATCTAGATTCAATTTTTGGGTTTATAGGCTCATAGACCTCTCATTTTAGACACCTACAAGCCACGAGACTTCGTGGAAGAAAAACATAGAGTCCAATAAAGAGTTAGAGGAGAAATACTAACGAAGCTGATTTTGACCCTAGTTAAGGTAATTAAGGTTAGAACAATGCTTTATTTCACAATTTCAAGTTGAATTTAATTTAGAATGGTGAAATACTAACAAAAGAAATCAGAAAACCAAATACGAAACAAACTCTATGACACTTTGAGTAGCTTCGAGGAATGAAAGCTTAGCAAACGCAAATTTAGGGAAATGTCGGCTAAGGCCAAGTAACTAAGGGACCTTACTATAGGGTAGGCTAGGCAATTGTTTGATGTATGACGACATGTGCCTAGTGGCACCGACATGTGTCGTTTATGCTTCATGATTATGATGTATGATGTATGATGTATGATGTATGGTGACGTGTATGAGTTATGTGATGATGTTCTACGATGATTATGATGTGTTTATGATGACGTTAAATGATGATGACAATGCATGCTAAGATGATGACGTAAAGGATGTTATTTCCTTGATATGATGTTGTTATCTATATTAAGACGAGAAGTATGTTATGAATGCCATATTGCATTAAGAAGACAACTTTCATAGGATACAACCGTAGTTAGTATTATTAATGATGAAAGAATGAAAACTAATGCATGTATATTATTGATAGTAATATAAAGATAGAATTAGGGTTTTGCCATAAAGATGTTTTAAAGACGAGAAACTATAGGGACCTCATGCATTTATGTATGTACATAAGCATAAAGATACTTCTCTTTTTACGATGATGATTACAGATGCGTATGCTATGATGAAGATGTGTGCATGCTGAGCATGACACTCAAGGGTTTGCTGACCTCTGGACGTCACTATGGATAGCTAGTTCGATTTTGATGGGTCCAGGAGAGGTGCAAACCACTAGTAGGTTTGAGTTGTGTGTAGGGAAGTACTGTACATCTAATTTAGTCTGGACTAGAAGCCACCCCTAGGATGTTTTAATGATAGGTCCCTATTGCATTATTGCTTGTGTTTGCATTTTCACAACCCCTATAGTGGGGTCACTTATTGAGTATTCTTTGAAATACTCCGGGTGTGTGCTACATCATTTTTTGGGTAAAGGCAAGGCGCCCCTGTATGGTTAACGATGACATCGCAATCAGAGACCAAGACACGTGCATAGGCTAGTAGCATATTTAATTTCCTAGACTTTTGTTAGAATATGTTGTTATATATTTCATGTTTTAAATTATTTATCATTATTGTTTTTAATGTTATTTTTTAATTATATTTTGTTTTGAACACGTAAGACCATGACAGTGTTTTCAACGATGAAGTTATTTTTATTCTGAAACTTATGATTTTATTGATGATGTTTTAAGAGTTATGTTCCGCATCAGAGATTAGGCTAAGATGACGGTAGTGACTTTAGGTAGCTGAAATCTAGGGTAGTTATGGTTGGAATCAAAGATCTAGGTGATAGATTCTATGGACTAGCCTATGAGATAGGCTTGACACATTCCATGGTCCCACCATTGATACCCCATCACTATCAGGTATGCCTTGCATAAGATAAGAAAAAGAAACGCTTTTGAATCACATGCACTTTAATTTTTGATATTACTGATTATGATATAGTATTGTTTATGTTAAATTAGGAATATGTTGTTGATTGTAGCATGCTGATTGAAGGATTATAATGTGCTATGTTTGCAATATTATATGAGTTTGTATTATGCAATATATCATTATTCATACTAGCCCGCCTTAGACTTAAGAAATATTATCTTGGTTTCTAGAACCATGTCACTCAGATGACGTGGAAGAGGAAGATGAAGAAGAGGACGACTCCCTAATAGAGGTAGAGAAAGAGGTGAGGCTAAAGAGAGCTCACCTCGAAAAGGATCCGTAACAAGGGGATGCAATTGTGCCACCTCAGGTTGAGTTGCCACAAAGTGCACCACCACAAGCTACGCATCCGCCACAAGCCACACCACCTCCGACAACACCAACGGCTAGAGTAGACTCCACCACTACAATGATGTGGGTGTCGTTTCAGACCATGATGCATGCCATGATGGTCACCTAAGAAGCCAACAATTTGCAAATGGGCAGAGGAGCGAACTAGTTAAGGGACTTCAAACGATATGATCTCCACCCATACACCAGTACTATGAGAGATCCAATAGAAGCTCATATGTGGATTTTGTCTTTGGAAACCATATTCGCGGCGATGGGATGTCCGGATAACCAAAAAGTCTCTTGTGCGTCATTTGTGTTGTAAAAGAACACAAAAGTATGGTGGAAGGATAATAAGGATAGTACCAACCTAGGAGGGAGAGTTATGGAATGGGATTAGTTTAAGGAGACCTTTCTCAAGTAGTACTATCCCAAAGTAGAACAACTTAGGAAACAACAGGATTTTGCTCATCTAACTCAGGATGGATGCTCGGTGGAATCATATGACAGAGATTTCATGAGATTAAAGACATTTGCACCGTCCTTGGTAGACACTAATAGAAAATGACCGAGAAATTTGTCTTGGGTCTGAACCTAGAGATCCACCACACAGTGGAAGCTATAGACCCAAAAAAATATATGAGGAAGCTTTGAGAATTACCAAAGCCTTAGAGAAGCCTAGGGATGAGGTACAACAAAAGCATTCAGTTATTGTTGGAGGCAAACGACCTTATGACTTGAAAGACTCAGATCGTCGACCACCAACGAGTAGGCCTTGCTATGTCGACCGACCGTCCCCGCGACAAGCTGATAGATACCATCTCAAATGTACTGACCGACACCTAGAAACCAGGCTGGGGCCAGAGGAAAGGGGAGTTAGTATGTAAGATTTGTGCAAAGTTTCAAAGGAGAAGATGTATCATCGAGACTGGAGCCTATTTTCGATGTGGCTAAGATGGTCATATCGCCATCAACTACATGACCAAGGACACAAAAAATCAACCAAACCCACCCCGAGCAGTAGAAGAGGCAGACAGACTGGTGTAAACTCGTGCTCAAGCTAGGGAATGTGCCTTCACCAGCAAAGACACTGGGAGGTCTGATACTGTGGTGATAGGTACACTGGTCATTACGCTTTTACCATGTTTGATTCTAGTTCTCCACAATCTTTTATAACTGTTCCTTTTGTTACTAATGCAGGGTTCAAACTAGAACCCTTATTGCATGCATTATCGGTGAGTACCCTGCGGGAGTAGACTTAGTTGCTAAGACTAGAGTAAAAGATGGCCAAGTAACTGTAGCCGATAGAACCCTAAACATAGACCTGATAGTAGTTAGCATGACAGACTTCGATGTAATACTAGGCATGAATTGGTTAGCTGAAAATCAAGCTAGTATAGAATGTCGTAAAAAGGAAGTGATATTCTCACCGTTATCGGGACCCAACTTTAAGTTTAAGGGTACATGCAATAGGACTACCCCAAAGGTAGTCTCAATGATGAAAGCTAAGAAACTAGTTAAACAAGGAGGTTGGACTATATTAGCATGTGCCATAGATGTAAGAAGAAAGAAAAAACACACTAGACACTGTACTAGTAGTGAACGAATTTCCAGAAGACCTTCCAGGAATACCCCCTTCCCAAGCTGTAGACTTTGCCATAAAACTCGAGACTGGAATTGGGCCTATTTCCAAAGTACCCTATCACATGGCGCCCATAGAGTTGAAAGAACTTAAGGCGCAGTTACAAAACCTACTAGACAAAGGCTTCATCCGACCTAGCGTATCTCCTTGGAGTGCGCCAGTGTTGTTTGTCAAGAAGAAGGATGGCTCGATGCACTTGTGCATTGATTATAGAGAACTAAATAAGAGGACGATAAAGAAAAAGTACCCCCTCCCTCACATAGAAAACCTATTTGACCAACTTAGAGAGCCACGATATTCTCCAAGATAGACTTTCAGTCAGGGTACCATTAAATTGAGATTAAAGAAGGGGATGTACCAAAGACAATGTTTAGGACGAGATACAGTCACTACGAGTTTGTAGTGATGTGGTTTAGCCTCACCAATGCCCC